CGTCCGGGCGCGGCGCCGCGCGGCCCAGCCTGACGGCGAGCGTGAGTGCGACGATATTGGTCGAGATCGAGGGAAAATTAATACAAAGAGATCGTTAAATTTCGTCGTCAAGTTACAACAGTGCGTACGTATCAACGACGAGTGGTGACACGCAGTGAAAAAGAGAGGTGAGTTGCCAGATAGAGAAAGAAAAGTCGACAATAAAGAATTCTGGTGATTCTTTATAAGAAGTGCTGTGTTACGCATACGTGTTCATTATTCACGAAATAAACGTATCCTCATCATGCATACGCTTTGGGTATGTTTTCGATCATCGACTAATTTTTTTTCTACGCGAATGACGAATCTATATTATGCAGATCTTTTGATTGCATCGATGTTTTTATGCAAGAAGATTTTAGTTAGTTGTTACAAAGTATAAGAAGCGCGAGATACAATTTCTACCACAGGGTAGTAAGATAAAGACGACGATTCAAAGCGAATTTCTAAGCGACTTTTAAACCATGATAGACAAACACGATGAAAGGAAAGGAGTAAAATGTACGCGCAGTACATACTTTCCTCGTTCGATTCACAACCATACTACATAGTGACAGGTGCCATGCGTGTATCATTGCCAAATCTATCTTCACTCTTCAAAATACTATATCGTTCTGTGTATATTTTCATAGAAACGAAATATCAAAAATTAGTATTGTTCTTCAGCGTGATTCTCATCTAAAGTATCATACGATCGTTACGTTTTATTGCTTAATGCGTATATTTGCAATGAAGCGTGTAGTATGTTTATCTTATACAATGATTAAAAATATTCTTATCGTGTTTTGTAGAAGTTTTTATAATACTGTTATTCTGACAAACTATTTGAATATATGCTGTTGTTATCATGTAATCAGGACGGCCATGTTTTTCCCAACTAAAAAACACGTTTCCCGTGGCCACGCGCACGTGTGGGCGAAACAGAATGTTTTTGTTTGCGCCGCGACGAGTTCCTAAATACAACCTATGGTTGCATAAGACATAAGACATAAGAGATCGAGGTGTGCCTATTTGAAAAGAGTTCTGGCGTCTTATAAAAACTCTCTAAGCTCGTTTCTGTCTTCGATACACAGCCAGCCTCGCGAAACGATACAGATTACAGAAACAGAAACGCGCAGTTATACTAATATTGCCTTTCCATACATAAGATGGGATGACAAGTGTTTAAACAAAATAGAATCACAATGGAACATTTGATACAGTACGCATGGTATGTATTTCGCGATTACGTCAGAAAGTATTGCTTGTTATCCTCGTGTACGATCGCGCATTTTCTACTCTTCTAATTTATCGATAGAGATAGATTATCGATAGAGTCTACGGTCATAGAACATGCTTTCCACGATAAGAAAATTTCAGTAGCTATATTAGCGATGCTTATTATATTTTGTTTTCTATAAATATAACAGAATTTTTAAAGCCACACGGGGGAAGGAAAAAACCTTCGTATACGAACGGATAAAGCGGTTAACCTTACCGATACCAAGTGACTCCGGGGTGAAAGGGCATTAACACTTTTAAGATAATAATATAGTGGAATATTAAGGCCATTTATTAAATAGAATTGTTGCAAAGGAAATCCGCCCTGATAAACTTGCTTGCGTAATATTGCAAAAAAAAAAAAAAAAAAAAAATACGTGGTACCGTAAACAATGTTAGTAAAATCACGATCATTGTCAACTATGACTTTGGAACTTTTTATCAACGGCTAAATGATATTTTATTCGTCTGTTCGAAAAGTAGTAAGTACATTTTACGTTCATGCGATTGAAATTATAATTGCACGTATTTCATCTATCCTGTGGATAATGTTGGTAAATTCCAATGCGTTTATAAAGATATATCGTCAGCTGTTAATACCTAGTCGATAAATGGAAAAAGATCTACTCCCGAAACCGGTTATAACGGATCAACCCATAATTTGCGATATCGTGTATGCACTATTCGATGTCTATTAGAAATGGACTTCGATTTCCGTTAGACGTTTTCGTAACATGTATCTCGGTGAAGGTTTCCACGCACCTTTATTAGAGGTATCTAACAGGTAATGCATGTTAAAATCGACGAACCGTTGAACATACGTTCAAGCTAACTCTTTTACAACTAGCACGATTCTTTACACTTTACAGAATTACGATTGGGGCCAGTCGGTAACCAAGTTGCGGGTTTTCAAGTAATTTAAAATTTTGTCATTCTATTCAAATATATGTAACTTCATGTAGTTTAAACAAAGCAGTATAAATAAGAAAAATGTGCATTATAAAAACACGCTTATATGAATAAATATTAGGCTTACCTAGTTCTTCTGCAACACCCGTAACTACATGTGTTAGTTTTCTACGTTATGGCTCAGCATGTTAATTCATTCTGTCATTGTAATCAAACCTCAACTTTCTAATATTCATTGGATTTTGCTTCTAAGAAAAGCTAACATACAGTAGGTAAAAAAGTTTATGTGCTTTAGAGACGAAGTAACGCTACGAAAAGACGTACGAATTGATGTGACATTTTTCCGTACGATCTTTAACCTATTAAGACGAGTTAACTCATCGCTCAGATTACCAACCTTTCGGACGCAATTTCTTTATTTAGGGACCTTTTATCTGTTTACATGTCCTTTTATTAAGGATAAATTATACTATATTTACCATGCGTAAAGACAAAATTCGAGCACTATTCCTACTTGTAAGTTATAGTACAAAAAATAAATTAAGTTTACTAAAATAAACATATGTCCGATTTAACATTGTTGCGTCTTATTCTAGTTACCTTATCATAAAGTTATCGTATCTTTATAACGCTACATTTATGATTATTTTCTTATTAAATCTTGTTAATTTACGAACTGCAAAACAAATTATATCGAGTACGATATAATCAGTAAAAATAAAAAAATTAATACGAATTATACCAAAATATGTTTTGTATCGAAATTTTTATTTTTTCATAAGAACGAGAAAGGGAGTTAAGGCGGTAAACAATGACGTGGTTAGGAAGTTAAGGTTTTAAACACAAAGAAAATTGTTTATATTTGCCCGTAAATGATAGTTGATCTGCAAATATGTGTGGTGTTTAATTTTAGACAGGGGATATCTGCGGTTCTGTCGAAGAAGTCACTGACCATCGAAAATTCTGGCGCGCGGTCACGTTTTCATGGAAATAAGCGGCCGAAACGACGACTTTAACGATTCCCGGTCGTTCAACCAGGCATAAAGGTTGTTTACATGCTCTGAATTCGCACGTTAGCAAAGGATGTGTTCCAATGGGAAACGTTCTCTTTCATTACACTTAAAATACTTCGTAACAATCATAACGATAGCTTTATAAAATAAAATACTTAAAAAATTGTTTAATGAGAAGCTTCTTGCATATAATAAGACGCAGGGTTAACGGAAGTGAAGAAGAGAAAAGAGCGGAAGCAAAGTTCATAGTAATAAACGAAAAAGATAGACAAGCGTCGAATAGAGAATTGTAGACTTATCAGTAGTCCGATAAATTTGTTGTGTCTGGCGGGAAGGATCCATCCTATCGGGATTGAACATGTAGACTTTGTAACCTAGAGAGATTTTGTGAAATGAGGTCGACTAACACCACTAAATTTTACGTTAACGGCCTTGTTCTAGATTTCTTTGTATTTCTTTATCACCCACTCATACCTTTTTCTTTCTAAGTCTTCTTTTTTTGAAGCTGTGTTGCTACCATATTAAGAATTCCATGTCGTGGCTAGATTGCGAATATTTATGCAAATTTAAATTTTTATTAATACAGCCAAAAAAATGAAATTGTTTCACTTACAGTTAGAAAATATTAAAAGATGCTATAGTACTTAGCCTTAGGTTACAGTAATTTGAATAAACCACACGCCAATTCGAAATCAGATCAACTTACCAAACATACTACAATTTATAATCGGTTAATATTCGAAGTAAGAAACTTCTGGAATTTTTTGAACAACTTTTTACGGAAACCGTATCGTTCTTTCCCTTTCCATATTACCGCAAAACCTTTAAATTTTTTATCGATGCAATCCTATCGATCTCCAATAATATTCATCGTAAAAAATTGATGACCGAGAACAAATCCGAAGCTAATGAGAAACACGCGATTCGTATTAAAAAAAAAAAAATAAGGAGTAACAACAAAATTAGAGAAAAAAATGAAAATTTAAAAAATGGAAAATGTGCGTGAAAATGCGTATCGACGCGACTGTGATCCGCAGAGTGGCGCTAAAGAGGGATGCAGGCCGAACTGGTGTACAGAAAGCCGTTAACAATGATGACCACAACGTCCAGCCAGAGTTTTCATCGTCCTGGGACAGGGAGAAAAGAGAACAGCGGTCGAGACTCTCGCGAGACCATACACTCTGGTCACTTTATGGTCTCTGACTTCGAGGCGGAGGCCCAGGACGACGAAGATGAACTTGCTGTCCCAGTGCCTGACGAGGAAGCTGCCAAGATCGCGATTATCGCTTCCACAGGATTTTTACAAGAGAAATTTGCCACTAGCTCTTCGAACGACAAAACTTCTCAGCAACTCAGCATTGAAACGTCCTTGAACAAGTTGTTCCAGTGCATGTCGCTAGCATACAGGTGAGTTTCTCTTTTCCCTCGGTTTTTCTTCGGCCTGTTTTCTTAGGTTACCAGCAAGTATCGTTCATAATTTTTATTAAATCTCTACGCTTTCTTTCGCTTCTACCATTGCCTTGGCAACTAAGCGATTGCGGATTTTGACATTAGGTGGTATTGACAAAATCCGCAATCGCTTAGTTGCCAAGCCAATATGTCCAAGCTGCTATTATATAAACACATACGATTCGTTGTCCGAGCAATGAATATCGATTATACCGTTCCAACTAGAAATTGTATTTAAATTATTCAAGAAATGTCCATCCATTCAAATCGATCGAATAGTCATGAGTGGTAATGCATGTATAAATTACAAATGGATCGTAATATACTGTAGTTATCTGTCTCTCCATCGATCATGGAATCGTCAAAGTCGTGAGAAATCGCGTTTCAGCAATAGAAAGGGAAATCGAACTTTATACCATCGTGCCATTGAATAGAGCGGAAAGAAGCGTCGCGTAGTCGTCTTGTAACAGTCCCGTGATTTCAAAGTGTTCAGACGTTTTGCAAGAACCCGCAAGCGAATGCGTGGCGTTTCCTCTCGCAATCGGTTCCCTCGCAAGATTAGTGGAACAGCGCAGATTCGATGGAACTGTATTTCGAGCTCGGCAACCGGACAAATGCCGTGCCGCCGGCATTCCGCCTGATAACGGACAATTGAATTAATGAAGAAGAGGCCGTAGAACCAAACGACAACACCGCAATTAAACTCGGCCTCGACGAAGCCGACAGTCTGCCTCCGCGACAATTTCCGTTTCCCCTATACGGGACCGTTCGAACCCCGTCGCGAAGACTTCCTTCAAATCCTTTCCACCTCTCGATCAACGAAAACGAGCTAACTCGCCGTTTGGAAATGTTACGATCGAAGGCACAAATAAAGAAGTAAACTCGTAATCGATGGATCATTGTTCATATTTTGCAAAATTTAATACAGCAATGTTGCGAACACGCTGACAAACTCTGATACAGCGATCGAGATTAACAAACATTTCTCTGTTGTTTCATATCGTTCTTTCGATAAATCGATTAAAAACTCGCGTTGTTTTGGAATTCGCGCGAATTCCTCCAGTTGGAAATATTTTTTCGAGTAAATTATTTGTCGCTTTATCGTCGAATCTTTTCGATTCTTACTCTTGTATCTAATCGTCCACCATTTAACACCAGCAAAATGAATTAATTTGATCTTTTATTTTTTAATGGCCAGTTAATGTGCATCGATTAATCAGTCGATCGAAAGCCTGGATCTATCGAAAGTTAGATGAGCTATCGATCAATTACGGAGGATTAGCGCTTGAATCCAAAGCATTAGATCGGGCTAACTAACGTTTTATTGAGATCGGACGAGGAAACAGGCTTATCTAGATTTCGT